AGAGAGATTTACTTAATATCTTTTGGTTAGTTCTTCGAATATTATTTGGCGCACCTTTTGTGTTTGGTATGGTTTCAATCTGTAGAACAAGGAGTTAATGTGTTTTACCTTTTTTATGCAACTTTAAACAAAAAATTACTACCCACCTGCTGATTGGTTTCGAGCATTCGCGAGCGAACAATATCTGTTTATCTGTATGTCTTTTGCTAAAACGCTTCCTCTCCTCCCACTCCGTCTCTGTATGTCTTTCTCTCTTCTTCTCTTTTTTATTTGATCCACACATAAAACAGACAAAAACTCCACAAAAAAGCATATTACGAACACGTACAACTAGGGCCTACCCCTTCACACCCACGCAGAGACATCACATGCAACTCGCCTCTTGATTGGGGGGAAGTAATCCACGAAAAGTTACGTTTATCTAATTCCAAAGAGTTATCTCTCTTCGCTTATGCGCCCGATAGAGTTTTCCTTCCTATCAGTCAGATTTCGTTGGCTGTTCCTGAATTTCAGTTGGATTCGGGTCATTGTAAATTTTTGTTTTTATGTGTTTTGGGGTTAGAATGTCAGCTTTTCTCCTGCCGAGTTTACGAATTTATTGTTACTCCCAGACATGCAGTTCCTACGAAGTGATTAGTAGTATTTAATACGAAGGTACTTATTTTTATGTAAATCAATGTTGTTTCCAATAACTAAATATTTGAAATAACTAAATTCTTGGTCTCGAGGAAAGTGTTACGAGGTGTGTACAAGAAAAGATAACAATAATGAAGTGGGAAGAAGCAATAAAGACTACAGAGAACTGGAGTGGTAGGTCTCTAATGATACTTTGGTGTCTACGACTGGCGCGAAAACGTGCGTGTCGGGGTGTTTTGTGTGACGTTATCTGGGCCTGTGTGTCACTCATTAGGGCTTGGTACCTGAATGTGGACACCGCCTTATCGTGGCAATAGTAGGCCTACTGGTGTACATTCTACCTCACAGGAGGTTGCCGTGGCTCACTGGTTAGATTATCATCATCTTCTTCTTCTTCTTCTACTACTTTTTCTTCTTTTTTCTTCTTCTTTCTTTTTCTCCTCCTCCTCCTCCTCCTCCTCCTCCTCCTCCTTCTTCTTCTTCTTCTTCTTCTTCTTCTTCCTCCTCCTCCTCCTCCTCCTCCATTCCATTTGATCCATCCGTTTATGTGGTTAAGAAATCTTAATTGTCTCCTTGTGATAGTTTTGATTATAGATCTTTCATAACCTGCCTTTTGCTGCACTTCTCTATTTGTTTTCCTCTCTATCCATGCGATTCATGAACTGGCCTCGACAGAGTACTTAAAAGCTGTGTGTGTGTGTGTGTGTGTGTGTGTGTGTGTGTGTGTGTGTTTGTGTGTGTGCGTGTATACGTATGT